TGCTTTGCTTGCAAATACAATACCGTTAATGCGTGTGCTCAGTTTGGCACTTCCAGTAACACCAACCAACTTAACACTGGTGATGTAGCCTATTCCTATCAAGAGTAAATTAGGTCCACAAATAATTAACTGCTCGAGACTGTCGGCTGAAGCCGAGCTCCCGATATATTCAATTAGTATCCTTGATTTAATGTAGTTTTACTACTTCATAGAAATAATTCCACATTTTTATCTGATCACTCGCTGAACACTCTCTTCTGATACCCGTGTATCTCCATAAGGGGTGTATTAATAGTGATGCGAAGCCGGCTTATTCTCAAGTCTAAATTTGTGTAAGTGTAAGTACTGAACCTCATAATAAACATAACATAAGCATAATAGCATTTAGTTTAATACCAGAAATTCACAAACTATTTCCAAGCACGTGTCTGACTGTATCAGATGGTGTTGGACGTTGTTCATATCACTCAATCACTAGTTTGTTTTAGGCCACGTCATTTAGCTTGGGTATTGCTGCGTTCGCTGTTATGCTACACATACAACCAGTTATTCAGCACGGTGTCGTGCCGGGATGGCTAAAATTTATTTTTCAGATGTCCCGGGAAGGTAATTTATCAGAGCCTCCAAGATAGGAGCGCCGTGTTCATTCAGTCATAACATTGCATTGCAAGTACCGCGAAGGCTACATTCATGGAACCGAGAATCGTCACGACTTTGGCCTTCCCGGTCATGATCCTTCAGCACGCACAAACAGATGTGAAAATAAGTACGTATATCATACATGTATATGTACCAAGCCACGAATGATTGACTCCAAAAGAATATATAGACAACTCTCAGTATCTATGAACAGGTTAAGATATAAGTTGAAAAGGAAATCTTTGGTAAATGATACATTGAAACGCCAAGTGTACACACAGCCATACAACACTTGAGGATCAGTTTGTACTGCCTAGTGTACGGTGCTGAATCAGGTTTTGGTGTCAAGCTTACGTAAGCATTACACAGTCTACTTACTCCCAGAACAGTCAAGAGAGCACATAGCTACATGTGACTTGGCCGGTTGACGGTAAAGGTACATTACCTCGTTGTTGCGGAATACGAAAAGGTGTGATTCGAAGAAACAGACGCAGGATCAGTCAATTCCCGTTGCCATGGCATTAAGAGGAAAATGTGCGCTTATTACAGGTGAGATTGGTGTGTGTAGGATCCGCATTTCATGTATGTATGCTGATGTTGTTCGTGGTCCTGCTCCAGATGATTTGTTTGTGCTGTTGATGTTTGTGCAGAAGCTTATGTTTCTCTAAGATGAAAATGATGTTGTTTGTGGCCCTTCTTATGTTGTTTATGTGGTAACTGATGTTGCTTTAGGGGATGCTGGTCATTCTGCCTGTGTGATGGTGTTAATACTGCTACTTGTGTAATGTTGTTCATGGGGTTTTCATGCTGTGTGTAGGGCTTCCGTCCTGATGTTTGTGTTGTTGTTGTTGGCGGTGGTGCTGATGGTTTGCTTTTAGGTGCTGTTGATATGGTTTCCAGATGATCGTGCTGTGAAGCAGTTTATTGATGTATATTTTAGTGCCATTCTGCCATTAAACAGAAGGTTATTTGGTTGTGAATAGACACCGGGTGTCTATTTCACTGATTGTTTTTATCTACATACCATTTGTATATGAATACATGATCTAAAGCCTACACATTTGTACATAAACATCGGGGGATAACAGCCAATTAGAACTCTGTAGACACTCAATGTTACACTCCACTTGGCAGCAACACCTTATAAAACAATATTAAACGATATGTTATGTAGCCTTTCCTGATGTGTGTGGGGCTGCTGCTGCTGTAATGATGCTGGTAGTGGTAGTGGTGTGGAGTTTACTCACTTTAGGAAATGCACATTTGATTCGGCGGCCGTTTGAAATCTACTCATCATCTGTCTGTCAGATTTACACATGTTTAAAGCATGTGTTAAAATTAGTTAAAATTAACACTATTAACCCAGTGATTTATGGTGAATGCGGTAGGTACCCAATGCACATTCTTACAAGCATTAAAGCATTATTAAGTACTGGCTAAAACTGTTGATTATGCTTTCAAATCGCTTACCCAAGAAGTGTTATAATATGATGCTATTATGTGATAAAGGTGGACAAAAAAACTGGGCAACCAATGTAAAAAACTTTTTATATTCTATTGGTTTTGGAATTACATGGAATACACAATATGTCGAATCACCTACGTTATTCATACAATCCTTAACGACAAGACTGAAAGGTATGTATATTCAAACATGGTGTGAAAGGATATCCTTATCAAATACATGCATGTATTATTCATTGTTTAAAAATGCCATAGTTCTTAAGTCATATCTATCCTGTGTTAATGTTAAAAAGTTTAGAATAGCACTGGCAGGATTCAGATGCTCTTCTCATGATTTGTTGATTGAAAGAGGCAGATATATGAATGTAAAAAGAGAAAATAGAATATGTACACTTTGTAATTTTAACGAAATAGAAGATGAATTACATTTTCTCCTAATATGTCCATTTCATGACCGGTTGCGAACAAAATATATTATAATATATTACTATGTCCATCCAAATGTGATAAAATTCGCCCTACTGTTAAGTAGTAAAAATCCAGTTCTTCTACAAAATATTTCAATGCTCATTTACTATGCTATGATTACTCGATCTAAATTCCTCTCAAATGTAACATAACTTTATGTACTATAGGCTTGTGGCCTTCTCAGTGCAAATAAAGATTATTATTATATATTATTAAAGCGGCAGTAAAGCGAACACTCAACGTACATGTGTTTCATTTGTGTGTAAATCTGACTATTCTTTCCATGTGTTATCTAGCATGTGTAACGTACGTTAATTTCAGTATCCTAAAAATCTTGTTAGGTTTGTCATATATTCAATACACGCATAAATAATTGGTAATGGGTAATTGAAGTGGCACAGTATTGGCACTGATTTAACATGTATTTCAATGGTTCCGGAATAACACAGTCACATCGGGTTCATTTGCTCGTCCGACCCAGCAATAATGTACTTTCTCACACACACGGCACTTTGCACTTGGGACTTTTGGCGTTTTTTTGTGTTTTTATACGTCAACAACGGTAAAGTTTTCTTGTGACTCTCCCCATCCAATGATGTATGCATAAAGATTCAGAGTGACACAAAAAAACTCTCCACAAGGCTGTATGACCAAAGGGAAGATTTCAACTTCCCAATAGTCAACTTCCTTTTATGTCGAGCAATATTCCAACAGCGCCAGCCTTTGAGATACAAACGAGCATACTCTTTGTACAAAAATTTCAAAGAGCATCATACCACTCTTTATCAGAAGTTGTTTGATCATGGTTACAACATCCAAGGCCTTAGTAACGCTTTCAAGTTTTATGGTAGACATGTGGAGGACATTTTGAAATTTGATGCATCAGTGAGAAAAATGATGTCAGATGCAATTTTCATCTTTGATTTGTACCATACGCTCCCGAATTATTTCAGGCAAACAGTTAAGTTGATTTAGCATATGCTTACGATGCTACCACCAGCGGAGCAGGATACACTCATCTTTTCGCGAACACCTGGTATCATCACTATTTCATAGATATTAATAAACCCATGACCTGTTATCGTATCACGCGTCTGCGTCTATGTCTTCCTAAAGGTGTACACGATGTTTGGCAACACTGGAACGTCATTTGTCCTAAGACTGCTCCCAAAAATCTGAAGATCCTTAGAAAAGATATAATTTCTTCAAGCAGCAAAAGAAATGTCAGTTTGGAATTTTCCTTCGCAGAAACGGATAGCTGTAAACTCATTTAATGTTTTGATTGTATATTGTTGACAACAGCGTTACTCAGACTAATGTGTTACGGAAAGAGACTCATGGGGAGGTGCAAGCATCATGGAATGGGGTGGAATAGGCCTGAACCAGAGAGTGGGTCCTGTTGTGTTCCAGAACCTTGGTTCAGGGAGATGAGGCGGCATCACAGCGGTGTGCTACATCGACCAAGCTCTCAGACCCCACGTCATACCACATTTCGCACGTCACCGGAACAACAATTTCCAGCATGATAACGCCCGGGCCCATACTGCTAGAGCTACACGGGACGTCCTACAGCAGAACGGTGTCAACATTATGCAGTGGCCAGCCCTTAGTACTGATTTAAACCTAAATGAACATCTTTGGGATAAAATTCAGAGGAGACTGAATAATGTTCCAATTATGTACTTCAAGAAATAAATTTTATACAGCAGTGTTATTCGAGCTGATTAGACATTGAAATCACAACTTGATTAGTCCCTGGTACTTGGCTGTGCTCCAAGAGAGATAGAGGGCTATTCTAAAGGGAAATGTAGTGAGATATGTAGTGCACAACCCTGTGCACTTAAAAGAACCCATGAATACGTTTGTATATGACCAGATGGTGGCCACATGGATACCTGCAGACACCTAGTTGCGGGTACAGCAACGTGCAGTTAACTTGGACAAAGTACTGTGACTGTCTGTCCCAGTCCACCTAGCTGTGAATGGGTACCTCGTAAGGATGGGAAAGCCGCAATAACTCGGTTCTCCTAGTGGCAGCAAGAGTTGTATGCGCCCCAGGTAGTTGAGATTGATAATAAGATGAGCCGTTGAGATTGACATCCAATGATCGAAGGAAAAAAATACCAGCGCCTTGAGCATGCACTAGTGCGTGGATATGTGCGCTATATAAATATCCAATAATCAATAAAAATAGTGAGACATGCGACGACAAATGGGCGGGACACCGACCATTGTTCACAACTAAACCATATAATCCCTCGAAGCAATATTTGCCACCTACCAAGTGCGTATGAATACATGATCTATGGATAGCGTACACGTGGATACATACATCGGTGATAGCCCATAATAACTCACAAGACACTAAATGGTACCCTGCACTAGCACTCGGTCACAACAGCTTATCAAACAGGTTGTCAGGCTATTTCTCAGGCTGCTGCTGCTTGTTGTAGCGATGCTGGTAGTGGTGCTGGAGCTGATGTAGGTCGGGCTGCTGCTGCTTGTTGTAGCGATGCTGGTTGTTGTGCTGGAGCTGATGTAGAACGGGCTACTGCTGCTTGTTGTGGCGATGTTGGTTGTGGTGCTGGAGCTGATGTTTGTTGGGCTGCTGCTGCTTGTTTAGCGATGCTGGTTGTGGTGCTTGAGCTGATGTTTGTCGCGCTGCTGCTGCTTGTTGTAGCGATGCTGGTTGTGGTGCTGGAGCTGATGTAGGTCAGGCTGCTGCTGCTTGATGTAGCGATGCTGGTAGTGGTGCTGGAGCTGATGTTTTTCTGGCTGCTGCTGTAGTTTGACGTGCTGCTCATAGTTTCTACGTGTTGTTGTTTTAGTGTTTTTTGATTGTGTTTGTGGTGCTGTTACTTATGTTGTTGTTTTGGGCTTTCCTGATATATGGTTGTGGTGACTTGGATGTTTGTTGGATTATACTGGTGTTTGTGGCTAACTACTTATATTGTATCTGTATTGTTTGTTGTGTATCTGTAACTGTTGCTGGTGTTGGTGTTCAGGCTGTCGCTTATGATGATTTCAGGTTGTTGCTGTTTGTTTGTTGATGTTGTTTGTGGTGGTGATGTTCTGGGGATATTGTTTGTGTGGCTGCTGAAGTTGGTTTTGGTTCTTAGGTACTGCTGAAGCTTCATGTGCAGATGTTAATTGCCACTCTGATGCCGGTATTGTTTGTGAGGCATATACCTGATTGTCGTTTGCGTCACACACACAAACTCACACGCGCACGCACGCACGCACAGACACACAAATACACTGATACATTGAAAAGCCAGGAATTGGGAAATGGTCGATGTCAGTCCACACATACTCACTTTCAGGTTACAGTTCAGGTATGGGAGCAGGAATTGCAGCAGTGTTTGCGAGAGAAGGCGCCAAACGCTCATTGACTGGCAGGAACCAGAACAGTCTGGAGGGAGTGGTCAAGAACTGCAAGACCGAAGCGTCTAGCGTAAACAGAAACCAATAGCGAGCCCTTGAGCTGGTATAGAAAGCCATATGCATTCTCATCCCTTAAATTCTATGCCCATCTATTCATAAATGGTCATTCATTCAGTGGTCCGTAGTGTCCAGGGCGTGATGATTGACTGCGAGTCGTATCCTTTTGGCGTGCCTTGACCGAGTACAACGATAAATTGTTACGTTTCAAATCGTGTCGGAATTCTTTAACCAGACCAGCAAATACATGAAATTCACATTCATATAGATCCAATGCTTTTTAATAGCGTGTTAACTATCTGTTTCAGGATGTTCTCACAAATGTGGGTGACGTCACACAGGATGTTTTTAGAAAAAACTCTGGTGGAAGCAACCAGGAAGAAGTTCGGGAAAATAGACATACTGGTGAGAACATGCAGCTACTTTAGAAGGGTTGGACGGACATATGCAAGTTAACCTTCTGTACCATCAGAAAGAGAAACTGCAATATTTCAGGTTCTTGTAAATAATCCGGAACCAAACACATCCGACTGAACTAAATGCTTGAAATTGAGGGTACTGGGTCTTGATAAGCCCGCCCATTTCACAGTGGCTCGTATACAGAGTCAGCACAAAAAACAACAACAAAACAAGTGAGTGATGTTGTGAAACTCGGTCCATGCAGTAGGGTTTCTTCAAGTCAGACCACTCTTTTAACTAACTCATTCTTTTCGGGACAAATAAAGGTTACTGCCCATCACTTCTCAGTCACGTGCTTTGTAGATCTGATTTCAAGGATCCATATCATAATGATACACTGTGGAGAAAAAAAGGCCATCATGTGACAAATCAGAGATTTCCATTCATTGCCAAATCATAACAGGCAGAGAAAAGAATCCATGTACACCCATCAGGGATCGGTACTTGGGCCATTTCTATCCATTGTCTATGTATTGTTCGTGATCTAGACTGCTTAACTCGACTGTTGTTGATGACACATAATTAGGTAAGGCTTCCGAAACCCTTAATAGGTTTGAGACCTTTCTTCAAACAAATCGCAGAAGGTTAAATAGCTGGGCAATACACTTCTCAAGATTCATACACTTTCATAAAACCTTGTTTAGAATCTTGGGTGGTAGTTAAAAAAAGAAATAACTTTACATTTGGAAAGTATCCAGAGGCTGCAAGAGTTATTTTCAGGAATTCAAAAAGATTGTCTATTCTATAACATTCAGAACAACAGACGTCCATTCTACAGAAAAGAAATAGCATTATGTTTTATGTCTAAAACAAGAAAAAACATTTTTCACGTGGCGTTTTTTTCAATGAAATTCTGCGTGTGGAGGAATGTATTTTCAGAAGTAAGAATTTGTAGTTCATTTTCAAAATGGGGCGGTGGGGTAGCCTAGTGGTTAAAGCGTTGGCTCGTCACGCCAAAGGCCCGGGTTCGATTCCCCACATGGGCACAATGTGTTAAGCCCATTTCTGGTTTCCCCCGCCGTGATATTGCTGGAATATTGCTAAAAGCGGCGTAAAACTAAACTCAGTCAGTCAGTCAGTCATTTTCAAAATTCAAATCAAGCAGGGAAACGTCTAATAACTCAGCTCCTCCTTACTATTCGGACGGTATGGGAAAAGTTACATACACAAATGAGACATGCAGCTAGTAGTAGACCATCTTTACAAATTTTGCTTAATTACAGATCCATCCTGCAAATGTCGTAACCCATACGAACTGACTGATCATAAAACTATATTTTGATTTACAAGCTGTAAGAGCATGCCCCTAGTCCTTTTTTCCCTTTGTGAGTAATATACTTAGGAGGTAAACATCATGTGTTGGCCAATTTCCGGGTGTTATTGAGTATTTGAAGTACGGAAATTCGTTTGGAAACGACGGCGTCAATACAACGGTGTGAGCGATGTTTGTATGTATTAATACGCAGACAATTTCCGGGAATCAAATACCATTTGATCACGTTTTTCAACCAATCAGATTAAAGAACACAGTGACTTTTGGTTTACAATGTAAAATAATGCACCGATTATATGGAAGATCCATTAACCAATAAGTTCAACATGTTTTGGTTTGGTGTAGAGTGGCTTTTACCATTACCATGGGTATATATTATGGCAATATCACCACGGACAAGCCCAGATATGGGATCCTGATCCAGATCTGTACCAATGTTGAAACCACTAGGCTAAACCATAGTTATAAGAGTCTACTCAAGACATCGGATGTTCGTTGGATGACTGGTGGATACCATGTTATAATCTTTGATCACATTGTTAATCACAAGATTCTCTGGAATATGTTCTCACATTGCTGGTTGTCAAACAAGTCCACAAACAACTGTAGTATCTTTTGTCCATGTTTAGGTGAACAATGCTGGGATCGCAGGTCCAAGTCCTCTGCAATCAGTGTCCAAAGAGCTCTACGACAGAATTATGGCCGTACACGTGGAGGCGAATGTGTTTTTCACACAGTTAGTTGCACCGTATCTGATTGAATCTAAAGGCACTTTCTTGTGAGTGAGTGTGGATAGTTTTACCATGGGTAGGCTTTTAGGCCTGACATTATTTTAAGGCACAGTGATTTCTGAAGATACTAAAAACAAAGCGCCTCAATACTTAGGACTAACCAATGTTTAACAGGAGGATATACTGGGCGCCACAAATTGTTCCTGTTTCGCAGCAAAAAAAAGAACAAAAGAAAAAAAAACGCTTGAGTTCTATTGAGGTTCCGTTTATACTTGAAGATAAGCATCACTGTTGATACATCCCTCATGGAGATACATCCCTCATGGAGGTATCAGAAGAGAGTGTTCAGCATGTGGTCAGATACAAATGTGCAAATATTTCGTTATAGTAGTAAAACTACATTAAATCAAATATACTAAGTGAATTTGTGTGGAGCTCCGCTTCAGCAGACAACCTCGAGCAGGTAATTATTTCTCTTGATAGGAATAGGCTGCATCACCAGTGTTAGTTGATGTTAAGTTGGTTGGTGTTACTGGAAGTGTTAAATTGAGTACACACATTAACAGCAAATGTATTTGCAAGCAATGCACAATACAGCTTACCCACCGGGTGTAACATTTACACTTTTATAGGAATGGTTAAACTGAGTTTTCTTGATAATCTTAAACAAAACTGGTATTCTGTCATCACTTGATGTATTTGTATACTACCCATCAAAAGTTTAGTCTCACTTACTTCAGACCACTGTTCTTAACTAGATTTTGCAACATAGTCCATTATATTTAAGGGTACTGTTTACACATGAACTGATATATTGTAAAACAAATTCGTAATGTTGAAAAGATAATTGCCATGAGTTCAATAAATGATGAAACTCAGTGAAAAAAGACAAATTCATAACAAAACTTTACACTAAAACGCAGCTGGTCACATGCATGATATTTGCACGTTCTTTTCAGCAATTCGATGCATGATCCTCGTTAGGTTTGCTGATGGTTCCCCGACGTTAGTGGAGAAATTCATCTTCGATGTAACCCTTCATATATACATAACATATGTGCTTTAGATGAGTCTAAACATTTGATGGGTAGTATATATAGAGCAGGTTGGTGAAAGCGAAAAGGGCATTAATGTAAGTTAGAATCCCAGGCTCAAACTGACGTTTATGGAAAGCACAGCAACAAAGAAACTATCTATCTATTGAGGATTAGTACTTACACCCAGAAGACTTTGCAGCTCAGAGGAGTGCACAATCCGACGTTTACAAATGGTTTTATGTATCAACATGCCTTCGACATGGCGTTGATACCTCCTTTTGATAACTGAGGCTATTGTTAATCATCAATTTCATCAGCTATTTACATCGCCTTACTTCATGAACGGTTGGCTTTCTCCAACAAATATCCTTGTTTGTTGTTAGTCCCGTTTATGCATATCATCTTGTTGTCTTTGTTAATCCCTGTTAGATGTATATAGGTCTCTTCGGTGAAGAATGACCTCCACACACTCGTGACTATCATCAGATTCTATTTGGTCTGGAGGCCACAATAGCTGGGAAATATATATGAAGGAATCGGTGATGACACCAGGTGTTCGCGGATTTGAAAGAAATCTAAAAAGAAAGTATTTACAGCCCGGCGCAGCAACACAGTACTACAGTAGCCAAGACGACCACGACATGAATAAATGTTTGTCGTGAGGACTAATACTGGACTCTAAATTCCGAAACAAGTTTCTCTTTAGATACATGAAAATTTGTTCTGGATTCAACAACTATGTTTGCAAGATCTACTTTCATATGTAAAGCCAGCTTGGTACCCCTATCTTGTGTTCTATGACGTTTCCATATTTGTAAAATGTGTGTCGGTGACCTCCGTCGTGTGTTGTTAGCAGCAGCAAATGCTTCAAACCTATACCCTTGTTTGTTTTCAGTTTATTAAAAATTCTATCCATATAGCTATAAAAACGGTAACGCTATTGTTCAGTGCATTATCATTTGCCGAAGCCCTCGGCCAACAACGGCACTCTCCATCCATCCTTCCATCCGTCAAGTAATTCTCTATTGTTGTTCTTATTATCATGGTCCACTTCACAGCATTTGCAGACTTGAACAGGTTTCTGCAAAGATAAAGCGCCCTATTCGAGGATCGATTAATGAGAAACCAGGCTGTAAGAGCCGGAAATACTAGTAGTTACAGGCATAATGTTTCCGCACAATGCGGAATCACGTGTTGTCTCTCAAGACTACAATGCTCACATATATTCTGGGTTGTTTTTACAAATACAAACGTCATACTTTAAAAATATACCAATTAGAAAAAAAGTTTAATACTATTTATATTACCAGCGAACATTGGGACCATGCGAACATTGGGACCATGCCAATCTTTTTAATAAATGATTAATGCTGACTCATCTTGGGGGCTTAGCCCAATACTGATTACTGAACATCTTAAATGTTCATGCTTTGAGTACACAGCCCTGTTGTTTGTATCCTCACAGTACATAATCGTCAGGTCCTGTTGATTGTCATTCCACATCTGTGCTTCCAATATATTTCATACATTACCATCACTTCACCTGATTTCTTCGAATATCCCATACTTGTTATGACAGAAAATGTAAACAAGGAATATCTGACCAGATGTGTTAACGTCTGCTATGCTTGTTCATGCGTGTTTAATGTCTGCAAACATATGGGTCACTGACGGTGACTCTGTTGAACAAACAAATCTATAGAAGGGGTGGGTGTGAACGTGTGGTGCTAACTGTGATAGACTGGCTTGATCGATTTGGTAACCACGTGTATTTCACTTATTTTTACAACACCTATGTTTACATCAGTAGTGACGGTAGAAAACTGCTAATAATCAACGATGACCGGACGAGACAGTGACTGAAGCTTGGACTCCCATCAACCTTCCCACCCAAACAAATAACCAACATGACTTCAGCATGTGCATCAATATTTATTTATATAAGCATAACTGGAACAGTATCTTGGTTTTCTTAACTGGCACTGTGTCAGTATTGTTAATATTTCAGGATTTGTTTGTTTTTAATTTGTACCATATAAATAGAACTCATATGTCAAATTTCATTGGTAATTGTCTAGCCTATGTGGTACACATCAGATACACAGTCTGCGATCGATGGAGGCATGTGGGCGTCTTGTGACCATCTGCCTTATGTAAGGACTGGTGTGGTCATTGTGTACCCACCATCGGCCCTGAAACATTCTCCAGTCACAAAGGCTGCTTTCTCCGAGGCTAGGAAAGCCACAATGTGACCAATTTCTTCTGCGGTACCCGCTCGACCAACTGGCGTTTCTTTAGTCACGGCACTCTCCATCTGGAACAGCGTGAATGAGTCAGTGAGAGAAACAATGTCGTTTATTCATCTTGTTATGAAGGAAAATGTATTTTCGAAAACCAGCCTGATTTACATTCATTACGAGACCGGTGAAGATCCGGGTTAGAATTGGTATTCAGCATCCCACGCTTGTCGTAAGAGACGACTAGATCGATGCTCATTCACTTGTCCAGACTCGATATGTATGCCGCCATACAGCTGCAATATTGTTGAGTGCGGCGTTAAACAACAGTCAATCATTACGAGAATTATTGATTAAATGATTTGTTGGTTCTGCGTGAATGACACCTGGTTATGGCAAGGTTCGTTTTCAATGTTTGACAAGTGGACATAAAAGTTACTCTTCTTATTAATTTTCGGTTTCCCCTCCAGGTATGGCAGCACCAACATAATTACCTTGGCCAAATCTTCTTTCGATAACAGGCGAGACAATATTTGAGTGGGTATGTAACCTGGGCTGAAACAGTGAAAACAACATCGTGAAAAGAACAATCGTGCCAAATACAACAATAACAAAAGACAACACATCTGACAGTGAATACAAACACAAAGTGTAACAGTCACAAGGATAGTGTTTACCTTCGTGTAACCAAAAGGACACATGATGTGCTGATTTACTGGTTTGTTCCAAAACTACTTCCTGTTTGTCAGTTCCAACTTCCTCCTTCATGTGCTCCACGTGTGCATGTATGAAGTGATCGATACTCTAAAATTGTAAGACTTGATAGATTACTGGTTTTACATAGTAGATATTATTGATTGTCACATGTCATTGTATCCCAATTGCGTAGATCGATGCTTCTGTTGTAGATCACTGGATTGTCTGGTCCAAACTATTTATAGACCGCCTCCGTATAGCTTGAATATTGCTGAGTGCGGCGTTTAACAACAAACAAAACCGAACATGCACTGACTAAAACAAGTCAACAGTACTTTCTAAATAAATATTACCTTTCTTTGTGTACTTACTTGACTGCATTCACGCGCACTCCGTGTGAAACCATTTCTGTAGAGAGAAATTTTGCTGTTTATTCGATTGTTGGTAAAGCTGTTTAGTAATATAGTGTCAACCAATTGCCTCCTGTGACAGGTATAGCTCCTTTAGAACCAAGAAAACTCGGAGTTCGTGTTCCATAAAACCATGTACTTCATGTTCAAGCTGAATCTGTTCATTACATATCGAGTGACTGATTTCGTTTAAAGCTATTTTTCTCTACAATATGCACTTGAATTATTACAAATGAACTTTCTGCCAACTGTGTGTGCTGAGCGGTGAGCATACGTGTTATGCCATCTTAACAATCACTGTGCTTACAGACGCTGGCCGTCGGTAGCACTGTGTAGGACTATAGTACCTCCGTCCGTCACTAGTACTTCTCTTCCAGACATGGTTAGAGTAAATGTCATATACTGGTGATGAGAGTACAGCCAACCTGTTATAGACGGAGTTATGGTCATCGTGATGCTTTTGAAATCATCCTCATTCCCAAATCATCTCATGTTCTTCTCACTAAATTTCGTAATTTACTCAGGTGCCTCCAACGTTGCCTCTTTAAAGGCTTTTCGTGTTACACATTGAGTGACTGATTTGGTTTAAGCTACTTTCCTATTTCAGAAGTTTCAGTTTCTGCACAATGTCAAAAAGAATTCCAGTATCAGTTTTTCTCTAACCTTTTAACTATCCACCATTTCTGTCTTTTCAACTATATATGATGTAAATATGGGGCTTGAGCTAGCCCTTATCACCTTTGCCTTGACTGGATTACAAATAATGGAGATGAAGCATTTCACTAGGTGTAGTTATATGTACAGCGTGATGTTTCGTCGTCAAAATTTAAATGCTTTGTTACAACCCACGATGATTGGATGCTTGATCAGTAAAGGTCTGCACAGCAAACTCTATCACCTCACATGAGTGGGCATTAAATGCTTTTCAGAAACGTTTTGCATTTTTACCATGTGCAAGGTATCTTGTGTATGTATCCAAGGCCGCCTTCGACATGACGTAGATACCGAATCCCGGAACCTGCACGGGAGAGAAGATTGATCATAAGTTGAATGGTCTTTGCATGATAGATGGAATTAACAGATGTAGATTGTTTACTCCAGTTCATACACATATCTAAAACGGCGCGGTAGGATAAGGTTCAATATTTGTCCCATCAAGGTAAGATTAGATCTGAGACTTTTTTTCGCTTTAGTTTTCAAAACAACATTATCTCCACACCTGAAATCACCATCTCCGACACATTTACCAGTATAACGGGGTGATGACAGAAAACAGGGTACACAATGGACACAAACAAGAAACCAAGTGACTTGCCAAATGCGACACCACAAAGGTGACATGCAGGTGTACAACGTTCCCATTTCCTTGTAAATTGGAATCTACCCACAACAAAAAGGGAGGAAGACACTTAAATTACCACTACTACTTCTTCCTTTACTCACACAACACTCACTTTGGTCATGCCTTGCTTTAGGATGTGGCCTATTCTGAAATCAATGGATTAGGTTTGAAGTAGGTTGGTTTTACAGGTTGTGAATCATTATTGTGTATGTCAACATCACACTCACAATTGTACTCGTGCCGCAAGATGAGATATTAACCACACATCCTGAAACAAAAAAGATGTGTTAAGCCCTATAACGACTGACATACGTAACATGCTACTGAAGAAAACAGGAAAATATCAGGTTTTAGATGTGGACATCTTATTTGTATCTTAGTTATTGGAAAATGTTTATATGACCTATGTTAGGTACTCAATACGTTTGGACCACTGCATCAAGACGTACAATCACATCCTTTGTCTGACACGAGGAGCAATTTGTGGCTGCAACACTCAGCATATACTCCTGTTAAACATTGTATTGTCCAAAATCTTGACGCACTTAATTATCTTCAGAAATCACTGGTTTAAAATAATGTCAGGCCAAAAACCATACACGTGGTAAGTAGAAACCCTTACCACATTCATAAGAAGTCTCTCTTAAAAGCAGAGTTGATTGTACAACTGTAACTGTATCATGACTATATCTTTGCTTCAGCAGCATTACTGCTGTATGATGTTGTTTGTAAGCAAACAATCCAGTGTTGTAAAATGTAAACACCAAAGGCTGGTGGAATATTGCTCGACATGAAAGAGAAGTGGACTATTGGAAAGTTAAAATCATCCTTTTTGTCATACAAACACACTCACTTACAAGAAAGTACCTTTAGTTTCAATCAAATACGGTGCAACTAACTGTGTCAAAAACAGAGGTGCCTCCACGTTTATGGCCATGACACTGTCGTACAGTTCTTTGGTCGTTGATTGCAGTGGGCTGATCCCTGTGATCCCAGCATTGTTCACCTAAACACAAACAAAAGATAACACAATTGTTCATGTACATTTTAAACAACCAGTAATGTAAGGACTACTGCACATATTCCAGAGAATCTTGTGATTAATAATATCAGTATACACCACTTATCCAATGAACATCCGATGTCTTGAGTGGCCTCATATAAGTATTGTTTGGCCTAGTGGTTCCAAAATGGGTTCAGATCTGGATCAAGATCGTGGTGATATTGCCATAATATGTACACATGGCAATGGTAAAAGCTCTACACCAAATGGCTCTACCCCAAAGCAAGGCATGTTTAATTTAATGGTTAGTGGATTCTCCGTGTAATCGGTGTATTAGTTTAAATTATTTTACTCACAAAGGGAAAAATCATCAGGGGCATGCTCTTACAGCTTATAAATCAAATTATATTTTATAATGAGTCAGTTCGTGTGGTGCCGACATTTGCGGGATGGATCTGTAACTAAGCCAAATTTGTAAAGATGGTCTACTACAAGCTGCATGACCTATTTGTGTATTCCAGTACCGTCAGAATAGTAAGAAAGGGCTGAGGTATTAGATGTTTCCATGCTCGATTCGATTTTGATATTGAAGTAGAAATTCTTACTCCTGAAAAGACATTGTTCCAAAATCGGATTTTCATTGGACAAACACCACATGAAAAATGCTTATTCTTGTTTCAGACATAAATCATAATGGCTATTACCTTCATGTAACCTAAACTTATAAATGCCATAGAATAGAGAATATTTCTGAATTCCTGATATAGTTCTTGCAGAGTCCATCTACAAACTTTCCAACTGTAATCGTAGTTCTTTTTCACTACCATCGAAGATTCTAAACACAGTTTTATGAAAAGTGTGAAAATCTATAGAAGAAAATTGCCCAGTAGCTTAACTTGTTTTCATTTGTGTTAAAAGAGATCTCAATGCTATTCAGGTTATCGGAAGCCTAGTTGCCATATACTCTGTACACGAGCCATTTTTCAATGATGGTCTTATGTCGCGATTATCAAGACACAGCACCATCAGTTTCAAGCAGTAAGTTCAGCTGAACGTGTCTGATTCCGGATTATCCACAAAACGTGAACTATTGTTTTCTTTCTGATGGTACAGAAAGTATGCAAGCATATGTCCGTCCAACCATTCTAAAGTAGTTGCATGTACTCACCAGAATGTCTATTTTCCCGAACTTCTTCCTGGTTGCTTCCACCACAGTCTTTCTGAAAGCATCCTGTGTGATGTCACCTACATTTGTGAGAACATCCTGAAACAGAACGTTATTGAAAACCATTCTATCTATATGAATGTGAATTCCCTCTACTTGCCAGTGAGGAAATAGAGCCGATAATTGGTTAAGGAACGTTTTTTCCAAGGCACGCCTCAACATGTCCTTGAGGACAGAAATCCCTGTCAATCATGAAACCAGGGGCAAGTATTGTAGGGTCATGTCTTCATGAATAAATCGGCATATATAAATGTATAGAAATGGATGCGGATTTCTCCATCAACTCAAGATTTCTCTATTGATTCCTATTTACGTCAGAAGCTTCCGTCTTGCAGTTCTTGGCCACTTCCTCCAAATTCTTCTCGTTCCTGCCAGTCAGTGACAGTTTGGCTCCTTCTCTCGCAAGTACTGTTGCAATTCCTGCCCCAATTCCTGAACTGGAACCTGAAAGGAAGAACGTGCTGACTGACATCTTACAATCATTTCCCAATTCCCAGCTCTTGATTGTGTGTGTGTGCGCGTGTGCGTGTGTACAAGTGAATTGAGTTACATCTTCTTTTGCAATTACGCCAAGCTTGTACGAGCCAATGATTCAGGTTGAAATTGTCACAGTAAGTGTTTAGAAAAAGATTTCATCCTATCTGATGATGTGCACTGTTGAGTGTTTAGTGGGTTAAAGGTGGCTACCATCGTTACATGCATCGGCGTTTGGGCTTTCGATAAAATAGGTTTTTCCTTCAGTACAGTGAGGTATGTGATTAACGTAACCTAAATATCGTTTAAAATTAACTCATCATCTCCTCGTACAACTAGTATTTGTCTCACATACCAGTATCCGGACATACAAACATCCTCATACAACCGACGCTATGAGCAATTTCATCTGTAATAAGCACAACTTTTGCCACTGTAACCATCCCTACGTGTGTCCTACATACCAATCTCCTGGAATATATAGACATGACATGCAGATCTTTACACAACTTATAATTACACCATGAATAATCTCACCTGTGACGAGCGCAACTTTTCCTCTCAATGCCATGGCAACAGGAATTCACTGATCCAGCGGCTGTTTCTTCGAATTACAGTTTTACGTATTTCACGACTATGGTTTAGCTTAATATATCGCTACAGCTTCACCCGGCGTAGTCACATGCAGCTATGTGCACTCTTGCACGTGGTGGGAGATAGAACACTCTGTCGTTGTGTAACCTTGACACCAAACGTGACTGTGCACCGCACAATGTGTACCACCAGCAGTTTCTGGTTGTAGCTTGAGATAGCTATTTGATGATGGGACAAGCAAACATGACTTGACATATATATATATATATACTGAGTCTAAAAAGAAACTTCACAAAATGTAATTTGAAAAATAATGAATAATCTTTCTCTGATGATACATCTATGTATCCGAAATGGGATCCCTATCTTTCGACTCTAGAAAAACGTTAGCAAAACCCACTCAAACCCATCCATTCGTCGTGCAAATGACGTAAGTGCCAAATCAGGTTTTGCACGTGCAGTCGATCACGTGATCTTCACATCGAAGTTTTCTTCATATGCACGTGTTTGCATTGGCCTCAAGAATTGGAAAAACTCACTTTTAAACCACAGTTCTAACGGTACTTGAAATACCACGATTGTCAAATGTGCAACGTGAACGTGCCGTTGGCATGTTGCAAGCGGGAAGATCAGTTATTGACGTCGCAAGAGCAATGGGATGCAGCCGTCGTACTGTGTATGACTTGCGAGGTCGTCTACAACAAACTGGCACCACTTCTGATCGCCCAAGGTCGGGTCGTCCACGTGTGACGTCACGAGCAGAAGACCGTCAATCGTCCTACGTCACCTATGTGACAGATTTCTGCCGGCTACACGAACCAGGGCTGAGATGTTTAGAGGTCGACTGTCCTCACAGACCATTCGAAATCGGTTGCGGGCTGCCAATCTCCATTCTAGACGTCCATATCGTGGTCCAATATTGATGCCGTCTCATCAACGTCAACGTCTGCTGTGGGCCCAACGTCACCTCCGATGGACCCAGAGAGATTAGCATCGAGTCGTCTTTAGCGATGAATCCAGGTTAACCCTCAGATTCGGGGACGGCAGGCATAGAGTCTGGAGACGACGTCGTGAACGGTATGCCCAATGTTGTGTACAGGAAGTCGAGATTCGGGGGCGGAAGTTGCATGGTGTGGGGTGCTTTCTGTGGGAACAACCGTTCCCGACTTCTGGTCATCCGTGGAAACCTCACAGCTGCTGCTTACCGCGACCAGGTGCTCACCCCAGAACTCGTTCCTTACATGGCGGCTCATGGCCCAGGTCTACAGTTCCAGCATGATAATGCTCGACCGCATTCCGCGATGTTGACACGAAATTTCCTTCGTTTTGCTTGAATCAACGTCATGGACTGGCGAGGTCCCCTGACCTTAATCCAATAGAGCACGTTTGGGATGCACTTGGGAGAAGGCTTCGTGGTCTTAGGAACCAACCTCAGAATTTGCAGGAACTTGGCGCTGCCTTGAAAGAGCAATGGCGCAGAATCCCCAACCACGTGTTCACAAGCATCAGGCAGTCGATGAGGAGACGGTGTTTGGCAGTGGTGAATGCGCGGGGCGGCCATACACTATATTGAACTGAGAATTTTCTCATTTTCATTCTTGTGACTTGATATTCTGTATACCCAAGTTTTGGAACGGCGGTGTAGCCTAATGGAACTGATTATGGCACTGTCATTGTATCGGGTACATCACACAGATCTCAGCAATGAAATAATAACAATTTAACCATCTTCCCATCTCTTGTTCTTTCATAGTGCCCTGAAGAAAGAATGTGAAGTTTCTTTTTTGACTCAGTATATACTTATAATATACGGACGTATTTACGGCCGCTTCCGTGCTGTAATGGTTAGAGCGTCCGCCCGGAGAGCGGAAGGTCGCGGGTTCGATCCCCCATCGCGTTATACCAAAAGACATTAAAATATGGTACTTGTTGGCGCTCGGCATGAATTGGTAAAACAAGGACTGGTCGGCTCGTAGTCAGTAGATTGTGTCTGAGTTGGGTATTCATGCATCACTGTGGCATGGTATCTCAGCGAGGTAGCACTATAAACCCAGCTTAAGTCTGGGCTAGTGCAATCAGCCACAAATACACATACACAGGCATGCACGTCGTCAAATGAGCGAAATATTCTAGTACGGTTTAACTCACTAAACACTCAACAGTGCACATTATCAGATAGGATGAAATCTTTTTCTAAACACTTACTGTGACAATTAAAACCTGAATCATTGGCTCTTGTATAAAGCTTGGCGTAATTGCAAAAAGAAGATGTAACTCAATTCACTTGTACACACGCACACGCACACACACACAATCAAGAGCTGGGAATCGGGAAATGATTGTAAGATGTCAGTCAGCACGTTCTTCCTTTCAGGTTCCAGTTGATGGAAGCTCAACACGACTTCACATAGAATCATATGATTGAATGTAGTTTCATTGCCGAATTCGCTGTTACAAATACCACACACAATTTATCGTCCAGAACACACATCAAACGGCTGTGAAACCACGTCCGTATACTACACATGTACCAAGTCACGATTGTTTGACTCATCATCAAATAGCTATCTCAAGTGCTTCTTTGCCATGAACAGTTACTGTGGGACACTGCTACTAAACACCATTTCCATCTATGTTTAATATCAATCTCATCAACAGCATGCATACACCGAACATGCACGGACTAAAGCAAGTCAACAGTACTTCCTATATAGGTATAACCTTTCTTTGTGTACTTACTTGACTGCATTCACGCGTACTCCGAGTGAAACCATTTGTGTAGAAAAAATTTAAGCTGTTTATTTGCTTGTTGGTAAAGCTACTTAGTAATATTTTATTATCCAGTTGTCTTCTGTGACAGGTATAGGTCCTGTTGGATAAAGTAACGTGCTTCATATTCATGCTAAATCTTTTCATCTTATGTGTTTAAGAAATGTTTTTCAAGAGTTGTTTGTGCCAATACGTTATTACATATCAAGTCACTGATTTGGTTTAAAGCTACATTGTACTTTCATATTTCAGAAGTTCAGTTTCTGCACAATGTCAAGAGAAATCCTAGTATCACATAGTTTTCCCCATACAAATGAAATCGTATGACCTTTTAACTGTCCATCACTCCTGTCTATGTAGAGAATCTTTTCAAGTATAATGGATGTAAAGATGGTTTTGAAGTAGCAGTTACAAAGTGAAATATGTAGCCCATATCACCGCATATGTTTCCTATGCCTTAACTAGATTACAAAAAATGGAGATGAAGCATTTCACTAGGTGTAGTGATACGTACAGCGTGTTGTTTCGTTGTCAAAATTTGAATGCTCGATTACAACCGACGATGATCAGATACTTGATCAATAAAGGTCTGCACAGCACATGAGTGGGCAACACATGGTTTTCAGAAACGTTTTGTATTTTTACCATGTGAAAGGTATCTTGTGAATGTGTCCAAGGCCGCCTTCGACATAACATTGAATGATCTTTGCATGACAGATGAAAGTAACAGATGTAGATCATTTACCTCAGTTCATACAGATATCTAAAACGATGAAGTAGTATAAGGTTTGCTTTGGGGGCCATCAAGATAAGGGCATGTTATGACCCCTAATGTGCTGTTCATTTATTTCTTAAACATGAGAAAATCGGATTGGATCTGAGACATTTTTCTGTTTAGTTTTCAAGAAGACAATAACTGAACACTGTAAATCACCCTCTCCGACAAGGTATAACTTTACCATGTAGATTCATGGGGTGATGATAGAAAACAGGGTACACAGTGGACACAAACATCAAACCATGTGACTTGCCAAAAGAGACACCACAAAGGTGGCATGCAGGTGAATAACGTTCCCTCGCTTTCTTTTGAATCTCTCAATAACAAAAGAGAGGAAACTTAAATTGCCACAACCTATTCTTTCTTTACTCACACAACACTCACTTTGCTTTAGTGTGTGATATGCGTGGCCTTTTCTAAAACACATCGACTGGGTTTGAAGGGGGTTTGTATTACAGGTTGTGAATCATTCTTGTATTTGTCAACATCACATCCAAGTCACCACAACCATATATCACGAAAGCCCTACAACATCACCTAGAAATCACATTAGCAGTACGTCAAACTGCAGCAGCATCCCGACAAACATCAGCTCCACCAGCACCAGAACCAGCACCGCTACATCAAGCAGGAGCAGCCCGACCTACATCAGCTCCAGCACCACTACCAGCAGCGCCACAACAAGCAGCAGCAGCCCTGACCTACATCAGCTCCAGCACCACTACCAGCAGCGCCACAACAAGCAGGAGCAGCCCGACCTACATCAGCTCCAGTACCACTACCAGCATCGCCACAACAAGCAGCAGCAGCCCGACCTACATTAGCTCCAGTACTACTACCAGCATTGCTACAGCAAGCAGCAGCAGCCTGACCTACCAGTGGTAAGCGCAACTTTTCCTCTCAATGCCATGGCAAAGGAAATTGACTGGTCCAGAGTTTGTTTCTTCGAATCACACTTTTTCTTATTTCACAACAACGTACGAGGTAAGTTAATATAACTTTACAGCGTCAACCGGCCAGGTCACACGTTACTATGTGCTCTCTTGCCTCTACTGTGAGTAAGTACATGTTCTATGCTTGCGTTACCTTGACACCAAAACCTGATTCAGCACCGTACACTGTTGCCTATGAATAGGCGGTACAACCTGATCCCTTGAGTGATGTATGGCTGTGTGTTGATTTTGCGTGTCAATGTATCAACGTTTTCGACATCAAAGGTGTCTTTTACAAATTACACGTCTGCCTTCGACATGGCGTTGGTACCTCCTTTTAATAGCTGAGCTTTCGTGAATCATTAATTACATCAGTTATTTATATCGCCTTATTTCATGAATAGTTGGCTTCCTCCAACAAGTATACTATTTTGTGAGTGAGTGAGTGAGTTAAAATTTTACATCGCATCAGCAATATTACAGCCATATAGCGATGAAAACAAGGTAATCATTTTAAAATATCTGTCCACAAAGGACAGTAAAACCAACTAAACTATCACAGATATATATCTAAAACTATTAATGAAATCTAACATACTTTAACAATAGAGGACGATACAATACAAAACAGGCTATAG